GTAATATTTATAACACTGTTTTACTTATTTTCATATTACAAAAGTATTTGAATCATATAACTTTTACACATTCTAACTGTTGCTAAGTTCAGTTTTGATACCAATAGTGGTAAGTAGTACCGTAGCACCATTGTGCGATATTATAAAAACGATTGCAATAATTATTGACTGGCTACTCGTGTTGTGAACTAGTAAAGCAAATAACAAGTAATCAAGCGCGTTATTATCCTTCCTGCGACTCCTGTAATACACAATATGAGACGTAACTTTGTAAATACTCCCCTTCATAGTATCTTACGTCGGAGCCGTCTGACGTAAACAGGTTAGAAATACTGCAATATATTGGAAGCTAAAGTTAGTTACAAAGTTAAAGTTACAGCTTATATACGTCCCACAGCTGGGCACAGGTCTCCTCTCACTTTTGAGAGGGTTTTATGGCAAGGAAATGTCCGCCGCACTGCCCCAATGCGTGTAGGCTGACTTCACATATCTTCGAAATATTTTTTTGCTCATTTCTCAGACATGCAGGTTTCCTCACGATGTTTTTCTTTCACCGCCGAGCATGTGATAAATCAACACTTAAAATTTCAAATAATTTCATTGGTGCCGGCGGGGATCGAACCCGGGTTGCTCGCGTACTGAGAAATTTACAGCGAGCGCTAACCATTTCACATAGCCGCCTCTTACGACACCCACGTTATGATATTATGGGGTAGTAAGTTTCTTTACTTTGGGAGGTTACAGCATTTAATATTAGTTATTGGTTTACATACAATCATACAAGTAGTTTAGGAAGTTTTTACGCGGTAGAGCCGCGCCGCAGCTATATAATTCTTGCAGTACGAATGAGTCGGCTCGACCGGGGAAGGACCACGCTCTCACAGAATACCAGCATGAAATAGCTGCTCAATGCTGCTGTATTTCGTATAGTGAGTGTAGAGAGAGAACCGGAGACCCCTTTTACTGGAAACGGGGTATTCCATCATAGTCCTCAGGTGTGACAACGTGTCTATGTGCCACAGCATCCACTTGCCATCAGGCGGGCTGTGTGCTCGTTTGTCACCCTTATTCTATAAAAAGAAACATGCGTGATTGTCGTGGAACGAATTCGGTGAGAACGAAGTTCCTTTCGTTTAATTATTATTGATAATAATATAATAATATTCCACAACTATCACACAACGCCATCTAGTCCCAAGCTAAGCAGAGCTTGTGTTATGGGTACTAGATAACTGATAAACATACTTATATATTTCTAAATACATAATTATTATAGATAAATTACACCCAGACACAGAACAAATGATCGTGCTCATCACACAAACATTTGTCCTGGGTGGGAATCGAACCCACGACCTCCGGCATAGTAGTCAGGGTCACTAACCACTAGACCAACAGGCCAGATAAACGTATTATATGGAGATGGATATTATTCAATCTCACTCGCACTATAGAAAGGGGTCGTGAGGGAAAAATCTTACTTTTCCTCGCCTAGCCCCCATCCGACGAATTCGTACCGCGCAATAAAGAACTTCGTTCAAATAACAAAATAAATATACAAGTTCAAAGATAAATTGTTTATTACAGAAATTTAAGGCTCAGTTTGTAATCTATACATCGAATTCCCTACATTTACACTTCGAAATTCGTATATTGAAAAAAAAAACAATGTAAAAATCACATGATATAAAAACAAATATTATATTATAATAAATTAAAAGAAATATACATATATGCAAATTGTTAAATTTTTACACCTCAAATAGATTAAGTTAGCTACCTTGTAGACTGCAACGAACCACACACACAAGTATAATTCAACTGTATGTTGTTTTGCCTGTTTTCCTTTACTTAAATAAAAAATACTGACCGACGAAGACATTGCATGTGTTTAGTGAGCCACCAACTATTTCAGATTCTAGTTTTTTCAGTGTAGTTGTACCCTTTATAGCCTCATGAAACCAATCATCTATAATAGCATCTCAAGATACACAATAAGTACCTTACAGAAACAGACAGAAATAGATAGCACATAATATAAATACAGCGGTTTTTGAGGGTAGTAAAAGTTTTCTCTAATTTCGTAACTTTTATAAATAAACTATATATTATGTTGTATTTAGTTACAAAATAAATGCAAAAACAATATATTTGAGTAGCACTTCAAGTATTTCGTTGGTTTTAAATTGAAATGTAATTTCTTATTAATCTCATAGAATTTCTATAAAACCAGTGGCGTTGCATGGATTTCTGCTGTCACCCCTCACCTTTACCCCTTCCACATTTACGGAGAATGCATTAATGTATACATTTGTATGTTATTTAATATTTGAATAAAACAATAAAATATATTATTATACTTATCCCTACTCTTGCTATGTGTGAGTTATATTTTAATCAAAAGTATCTAGTAACAGCTAATTTTTAGTTTTCTAGATTTTTAATGGTACCATTTCAGGTGGAGAGCTGAGTTCCATGTCTAAAATGCTACCCCTTAAAAACCACTGCCCCCCCCCCTGCTACGCCACTTGTAAGTTGCGTTTTGACAACTAATAAAACATGTACAAACATGACATGAGTAACAATTTCCTGAGTAAACTAATGCATTTTACCGAAGTACCCTCACAGTTAACAAAGTTTCACCTCTGAGGCACCAACAAAACCTGGGGTTTTATTGCTTCCGATGATATTTGAAAAGCATAGATATCTTAAACGTTAGAAGACTGAAGACGGACAAATATCCTAAAATCTTTCATTCTTATTATCTAGTATCTTATTCAATTCTCACATAGACAATTTGGAATTACCCGACTGGCCCAGAAGGAGGGTAATGATTTTCGAGAGTATGTAAGTTGTTTGGCACACACTGTCTGTCGGGCTGTGGTTAGATTCGTCTTAGTTGTGGAAGTGACATAGGCAGGCTTTTTTAAAACAGTCGGATTTTTTTTTAAATTACTGTAATTAAGCATGTTGCACTGCACATAATACATCTATACTTTTTAAAATATCATCGTTAGTTTTAAATTAACTAACAGCTATCATATAATTTGTATAATACAGGCATTTAACTAAAATCATTTATCAAAACACCTTTTAACTAAACAGTCTGTTTCATATAGTGCTTAGTGACCGCCATCCAATAGTTAAATGCATTCAACTATAATTGTTTTAAATATTTAGTTATTATAACTAAGATCGCGCTGTAGAGTTACAAAATAAGCTTTGTGATGGCGGTGTAAGAGGATACATCACCCAACCTCGACTTGAGTGTCAGTTAGGGTGAGTCAAATAAATTTACAATCCACGAGCAAGGCGTGGCACTTATGGCACTACGATGTTCCAATGGGCTGAACTGCATTCTTAACTAGACTGCAGAAGACATAACTTATTATACATGAGAAATAATTGTGGTCTAAAATGGAAGCCTTGGGTTACCCCAAGCCACGCTTTGAAAGTGGATTGGTGATTCTATTGCTGGGAGCATCTAATAATGCTTTTAATAACGTTTCGATATTTCATATTTGGTATTTTGTGATGGTTAATCCACCAGTTTGATTACTCCGACGGAATACGCTAATAGATCAGACACCTCTCCTCTCGATCTTTCAATCTTAAATTACAATAAATAGAAGAAAAAGTTTTATAGAAACCACCTTTCCCTTAACAGGATACCTACTCTTTTGTAGTTAGTTACATTGCTTTTGAGCAATTGATAAAAATATATTGCTTTACAAAATTCCAACCATTGTTTTAAAAACAGACCTATATATGGCCATAGATAGGCTTCTAAAATCGATTAGTACATAGTTTACTTTTTGTGATTTTAACAGAAACACAGATACGTTATAATATAAGTAAAAATATAGCCGGTTTTAGCAACTCTATACTTTTATAGTAAAAAAAAATATTTTAGGTTATTGAGTCTCTTCACTGAATTATGAGAGTCTGTGTGTTTGTGTAAACATTTGTCACACTATATTATATTCTACACAGTCCTCGAACAGTATTCAAACTAGCCACCTAGGTTATTCTCCCATGTCGTGTTAGAAGAGATGGAGTTATGATATAGAAAGAAAATTACCTTGTAGATGGATATAATACTAGGCGCTAACGCGTTACGAGCTGAATTACACTTTATTGCGTTGTAGCAAGATTCACTATTTATTAAAATGTTTTTGCAGTGAACCTTCTTTATCTTGTACCAGAAAACGCAAATAAAAATCCCATGTATTTGTGTATTTCAAATGAACTCACACATTAAAACTCCCTCGCTGTTAGGTAACAGTTTATTATATTTTATTATGACATCGGGACACAATCAAAATTTGACATTATTTTCAATAGCTTTTGGTTTCAATTACCATACATCACATAAGTTGCTTACATTATGCTCGTCACTCGTCGCCAGGGATGACTTATGTGATAGGGTGCAATGCAAATTGCAAAAAAGTTACAATATTTTTTTAAATTATTATAATCTAGTATTTCCTGTATGTAGTCCTCCTCTATGTATCCCAACTGATGGTAAGTGGTTATGTAACCGAAGATGGTTATGTGCACTGACTTAGCTTAATAAAAGCCTATTCACTCTGACCTTGAAGACACCTATATGTAATCGGATGGAGGGAGGTATAAGTCAAACAACTTCTGCATACACTCACCAAAATGTATATTGTAAACATATTCGAACTAGGTTCGTCCACAGCGCTATTTGAGTTTGTTGTTTTGTTAGCTAGAAGTGTTTCCATGTTTTATTTGCGTTCACTGACCTGTACTAATAAATATTCTGTGACAGTGTTTCTAATGTATACAGTTTTTAATGTTAGTAGTGTAGAGTTGCTAATACCATTACTATCACCTTATTTATTCTTATCTTCTCTTCTTTTCTTCAATCAAACATTAACTCGATTATAAAAACAGTTCATCACAACACATATCACTGACATTCTTCAAACTGTGGAGTCTCACTCGAGACAGGATCGGTCCTCACACATTGGGGTCTACTCCCTTTTCAGTCTTTTGCTGAACTCTTCTTGTTGTAACTCCCGCCATTCCTTCTTTGCTTTCATTCGTTTTAATTGCCCGTCCCTGTTGAATGAGAAATTAGAGTTGTTAATTTATAACATTTTATATTTTATAACATGTTTTAATAATAAAACGGTTTTTTCATTGATAGTAGAATTAAACAGAGATTGCGATAGGAAATTTCTAAACACACATAAGCGTTAATTTATTTAAATTTTATTTAAGAATCTCAAATTAAAAATGTTTGTAATAAGATCCAGGTGCATTAGTGAGATAAAACATATTATTGTTTTAAAATTTCATTTCTCGATATTAAAAAAATATATATATATTCAAAGATAGGAAAAAATATAAAGGAATGGTTTTTAAACATAGAATTATTTTCGGTCTTATAATAATGTATCTCTATTTACCAGAATGTTAATGACACTTCGCATAGTCGCCTTTTACGACACCCACGAGAAGTAATACATGCATCACGCCTGTAAGCCCCGAGGGAGTAGGCAGAGTACAAAGAGCAGCGAGCTTCTCATACCACGTTTAGCAAAAAAATATGGGTATAGATTGAAAGTTATAATTAATTAATTTAATTAGAGGTGGGCAGCCTATCACCTACATTATCACAAACTCAATATCCCAATTAGTCGCCTCTCTATGACATGCTAGGCAAGTAACACATTTCATATATTTTTTTATTCTTAAGCCTCACGTAAAACATGGGATGTATAAGTCCCAGACTGACATGGGTAATGATTGATAAATTCTGTTAATCGTTCATCACAGCATCATGGCAACATCAAAGACCACTGCTGAACATAAGCCTCCCTCCCGCCAAGGCTCCATAGGAAGATCACTTTATTATTTTGATTTCGTTATTGGAAAACTGCTGCTACAAATTTGTTTTAGTTTTCCACTATCTACTACGACACCCCCGGGACGATATGGGGTAGTCTCTTAAGCCAAAAATACATTCTTTTTAGAATAAGGGTGACAAACACAGTCCACCTGATGGTAAGTGGATGCTGTGGCCCATAGACACCTAAATCTATCCTAGATTACGAATCAAAATGCAGACGCGTTTGTTACCCGTGAAGACTGAGATGGAATGCCCCGTTTCCAGTAAAAAGGGTCTCTAGTTCTCTACACTACCACACGAAACAGCAGCATTTTAAGCTGGTATTCTGTCAGAGCGTGGTCCTTCCCCGAGCGAGCCGACCCATTCGTACTCCAACCGTAATATAGCTGCAGCGTGGCGTAAAGACATTTCTACAGTTGTGGTCTATCTTCAGTGTATTGTTTCACTAACAACCAAATGCTCGGCCTTATTGAGATTTGAACCTACAACCTGTAATGGTAGTCAGAAAGCGGGACTCACCACATGAGATCGACGAGTCCACCCCTCCTCGCTACCACGGCCTTGACCCGGTTCGCAAAGTCCACGGCCGTCTCGTTTGGATCGCGATGCATCGGCGGCAGGTACCACACGTCGCAGACGATCGCCCACGAGCTCATCATGTTGAGGAGATAGTGCAGCATCCCGTATCGGGAACTGTTCCAGAACGCGTCGCCGAATCGCGGGTCGTATCTGTGGAGGAAAGATATAAGGAGTTCAGAGCAAAAAAAGAGGCATAAGGGGGATTTTTTTAAAAGAGGGGGCTAACTAGCACACGGCTTACGTGATCACAAATTGAAACAAAATTGTAACAAAATCATATATAATAAAGCCTATGAACAACTGTAACACCAGGGAAATTGCAGGTACTTTGCAGTCTTGAAGCTTTATAAGACATATTGCTTCGAAAAAATGCTGGCAACAGTAATTTTTGCAATATGGTCATGCGTAGCTAAAATTCCTGGTGAAACGGGTTAAGGAACACCATTTGTGTCAATAACCCCTCTCTCTTCCTCCTCTTATTTATCGTCATTGATCTACATAAACAATGTTGTCTTTTAAGTGCATAAGTTGGTATTTTTCCTTATTTTTATTTAATCCTTCCTCTGGATTGTCTGGACGGAGATTGCTATACACCAATAAGACCGCTTTTTGTTTTTACCTCAATATTTGTTTATTTTTGTTATTGCACGCCTCACAACATGAGGGAGATAAAATCGTTCTTATATACTTTTAGCTAGACATCAAATCCATACTACTGTTAACGTTACAATAACTACAGACATAGAATTATATGATTAGTTTATTTTCTAATCGATTCACTTTAGATTACTTAACAAAAAATGTAACTGAAAAAAATATATGGATTGCCGTCCGTTGGTTGGTTGGCACGGTGGTGCTCCGCCAACCATAGATGGAATTTAGATTTCTATCGCAGGGGAAGTTCGTAAAATTTAGCAGACGGTACTGGTTTCACTGCCACTCGAGAACCTTTCTTTTTGGTTGCCGGTTCTTCGAGCTATATGGGGCCCGTAACCTCTTGAGCTTTCTGATCAAGAGATTTCTTTATCTCCCGAACGCTACACAGCCGAGTTGGATCCTTCGATTGACCTCTTGGTCAAACTTGAACTTACCTAATCGAACAATTTGTCCTAGGTGCTCCCAACGACCACTTGCATGGACGCTACACATGCCCTTTGCCTAGTCTATTTTTATCTTAGTATATATCCATTGCGAGATACTATTTTGGTAATTGATATTAACCTACTAATATTATAAACGTGAAAGTTTATGAGGATATATGGATATTTTTAGGGTTCCGTAGCCAAATGGCAAAAAAAACGGAACCCTTATGGATTCGTCATGTCTGTCTGTCTGTCTGTCCGTCCGTATGTCACAGTCACTTTTTGCCGAAACTATAAGAAATATGCTGTTGAAACTTAGTAAGTAGATGTGGTTCAGTGCGGGTGACACGCGAGTCGTGTCTTGTTAAAAATCGTTATAACTCGCTCAAATTGCTTTTTTGGAAAATTTATCCAGAACAAAATATTCATTATTTTGCGAGTAGTTCATGCATGCAGCTTCGTTTCTGGATATTTTGAAATTTTGAAATTTTTAGGGGTTGACAATCTTTTTTTAACGTGTACATGGTACTATTTTTACTTTGTGGGTTTTAAATCATGTTATGGAAAAATTGTCTAATAAGTACAAATAATAGCACTCATTGCGATCGCTCACAAACTCAAGTTGTAAATAAATTTCTGGAAAACAAGTCTCCTGTTAAAAAAACAATGCGTTTGTCTTATTGTTTAATTTTGCTTAAAATGGTTGAACTGCCGTCTTATTACTATCGTATGGCCGAATAGACCTACGAAGTACCATGTGCGCTTGTGATATGGTATAAGGTTTATTTTTGCTTGAAACAGTTCGAAACCGTTCATGCATAAAAAAAGTTCGCTAATAAAAATAGTCTTTTGTCAATCCGCAGCCTTATAGCGCCGGCGTTTTTTTCCTTTTGAAAACACTTGTTTTGCTATACTTACTAATTAGACGTTTTCAGATCGACTTTACTTTTACATTTGTATAAAATTTAATAATATTTAACATTTGTAAATATCAATGAATGATATACATTATTTTTTTTCCAATTATGGTTCTTCATTGTTTGATATTTACAAATGTTATTATTAGGTGAACATTTAATTTAATAAAAACCAAGGTGATTTAGCTGTACCTACTTATATAAATGTTTTTTTTTATAACAACAAAAACTAGTACAAAAGGTTTGTAATCTCTTCATAAAAAAGTCACTTTCTCTCATATTCAAAGAAAACGCGTAAAAAAACACGTAGTTACCCACTAAAAACAAGTATCCATTTGTAACTTATGTTTGATGTCAAATAAACTTAATTAGGTCTAAACAAGTAAAAAAAGCATAAAAAAGAACATTACTTTTACACATGGCAGATGGCACAATAGGCGCTGTGGCGTTTGTGGCGCTCGACACGCCCGGCGTGTCATGAAATATTTGTTCGCCGCCACAGCTAAAAGTTGTCGAAAATTGGTGCCGCAACGAATCGGTTAAGATTTTCACCCAAAAATAAAAAAAGCAATTTTTGGGGGTTCTCCATACTTAGAACTGAAACTCAAATTTTTTTCCATCCAACCCATACATGTATAGGTCTTTAAAAATGATATTGAGGTTTCTTATATCATTTTTTTCTAAACTGAATAGTTTGCGCGAGAGACACTTCCAAAGTGGTAAAATGTGTCCCCCCCCCCCCCCCCTGCAACTTCTAAAATAAGAGAATGATAAAACTAAAAAAAATATATGATGTACATTACCATGTAAACTTCCACTGAAAATTGGTTTGAACGAGATCTAGTAAGTAGTTTTTTTTTAAATGTCATAAATCGTAAATTATGTTACTTGCTGCTACGGAACCCTTCATGAGCGAGTCCGACTCGCACTTGGCCGCTTATTTACTCTTCCACTCAAAACTACTGAATGTATTTTAATGAAACTTTACAATAATATAACTCTTACATCGGAACAACACATAGGCTATAATTATTAATAAAGATATTGTGTGAATTGGTCAAAATATAACGATAAGAGTAAAGTAACTTACTTTTTGACAGATTTCTCAGACTTGCTTTAAGTAAATCTTAAAAATCTGTCATTTGCGAGCTATTTTGGCGTGCAGTGCAAAAACTGTAAGAGTTATACAAATATAATGTATGGTGGAATTGTTTCTCCTAAATAGTTTTACAAAAAAGTCCGCGATAATATATATCTATCTTTTTATATGTAAGCCATTATTACCAAAATAGTGAATCTTAAATACAATAAAATTTGATACTATTTTTCCAGTGCACATTTTGCAGTAACAAATGGATATTATCAAAATAAATACTTTAATCGCTTCTGATGTTCAAAGTACATAAAGAGCAATGGCAGACTTTCATACATAAAATTAGTTGAGAAGAAATGGTAGCGTCTATATACCAAAAATATCTTAAAATGTTAAGCGTCAGTCCCTTAATAACTTTGTCAAAGAATTTTGTACTGAGAAGGCGTCAAAAAAAAGATATTTGCATTTGAACCTTTTTAGGTTATGTCCTATGTCGCTTGGAAAAAGTCATGCTTCCTGTGGTTGTTTGATGTTAGCTTAATACATAATACATAAATGAAAGTTTTTAGATTATTGTATCTCTATTATATATTTGCATACTATAAATGTATATTTCTGGCATGGCTCCAGGGCTTTTGTACCATAGTGACATTCTCAGAAGGGCTAGAACCCAGAGCCGTAAATCCAGTAAAAAAAACAGTGACATTTTATTTTAGCTAGTGTTGGCATAACATTAAATGGAATTGTTACATAGTACTATGATTGAGATAATGTATTACCGTAGGAAATTCTTTGTAAGAGACTTATTCTCAGCCATATTACTTTTATTTTTGTTATTACCGATAGTACAGTTATTACTAATAATAACTTAATATAAAAATATTTTGTGTGTTGTGTTGGTAGTGTTACAAAGTGTATACGAAAATAGTAGGAATATACTAAATGGCAACATTTGAATAGAGTAAAATGATTTCAGTCATTTGATATTCCCAAAAATGTTTGTTTTTTTCTGTGGCTTTGATTAAAATACATTTTTATTTGAAAAATCATAGAAAAATAATAAAACTCATTTTATATATAACTTATTTCTAGACGCTATAATTTTTGTCAACTATTTTTCTGCCATTGCTCTTTGTCTTTTAAACTACTACATTTGGTCAAATATTTTAAAAGTAACGCCGATATAAAATTGCGTCCAGTGCTCCCCGCACGCGCAGGGTGGTCGGGCGCACTGCGGGCGAAATGGGGTAAAACGTCGCTCATCGCCGCGTTAGTAAATGTACCTCTTCACGCTTAAACCGCTGAATCGATTTAGATGAAATTTGGTATCGAGATAATTTAAGTCCCGGGGAAGGAAATAGAATAGCTTCGATCACGGACACAATAGCCTTGTGCGCCGCTCGTCGCGGTTTTTTATCATCCGATCGGAATCAGTTCCACTAAAACCGTTACCACGAAGAAAGTTCTTTACCTTGTGAATTGGAGCAAAGGCAATCTTTTGCAATTTAACAGCTCTAAGTGTGTGTTAATTAGTTTTTCTCGTGCGCATACTCCTATTTCAAATAAATATCACATTGACGGGCTGCCGATGACAAGGGCCAGAGAAGTTAAAGATTTAGGAGTAACTTTTAACACAGGGCTTACTTTTCATGATCACATCATAAACATCTGTAAAAAAAGCTTATAGAAGTCTAGGATTTATGCTTCGTACGGTCGGAGTATTTCCAAACATAAAAGCGATTGTCGCCTTGTATAATACATTGGTACGGAGTCAACTTGTAATACAGTCGTCTGGGCTCCGCATGAAACTAAGTGTAGTCTCATGCTAAAGCGAGTACAGAATAAATTTATTAGATATTTATATATCGGGTTAAAGACATTTATTTCTCTTAAAGAACACATTGTTCACTTTTACAGAGATTAAGTATACACACTAAATAATATTACCAGTATTTACACGGTAGCATGCATTATAATAATAATAATAAAAGTTTATTTCTTTAACAAAGTTTGTTTTAAATCTAGAACATAGGTTGACTCATTCTTTTAAGTGCATTT